TCTTGGTTTTCTTTTTTGCCCTTTCTGCATAATACTCGCTGCTCGCGGTGGCGGTGGGGCTTTTCTACCCGACACAAAGGCGATAAATCATGCATCAATGCACCTGGCCGCTACACCCAAACAATGTTTTAAACCTCGCCGGGCTCGCGTGTGTTTGCACACGCACGTGTGTTTGTGTGCGTGAGGTGGGTCACACGTTAAACACTTAGTCACAGTGGTGGTGATTGATGATGCAGGTCTAGTTGCCTTTCCTCGCCATGCCTTGTCGCAGCCCGGCCTCTGCAGAGCCCGCACACAAATGCACTGTCGGGATTAACTTGATTCATCCGTCAGTTTGTCGTTGTCTAAGAGCCGAATTGTGTTCGCTAGAACTGATCCGCTCTTTGTGTTGTTTTTATTTTAATCGTGTGGAGTGTCAGGGCTTACGTATACGTAATACATCCCGTCTATCGGCACTCCCTTTGTGCCCGCCCCTGTTCCAAGTTTCCATCCGATTCTGACGGTGACAAGGCCAACTTTCCTTGCCGTGCTCTGGTGTCAGAAAGTGTCGCGTTTATCTTGGCAGACGGATGAAGGAAAGCTGCCAGAATCGGGTTTGCTCCGTGGAACCGAGGGAATCGATAAAAATAGCGTATACATTGAAAATAAAAGCCAAGGAACATAAAAGTTCCGTAATAACCGTGTTTTTGTCGCTTGTAGTCTTAATTGCGCTGCATGAAAATGGTTCCTGGTTTTCGCGGGGAGCCTGTAGTAAAGAAATAAGTGGTTTCCTGGGAGTTCCTGGAGAACCAAGGAACCGTTAGTGCCGTGTGCAGTCGCGGTCGTTTCCGATCAACCTTAGACCACCCACATACGCTAGCGCACTCTCTCTACCCCCCCCTCTCTCTCTCTCTCTCTCTCTCTCTCTCTCTCTCTCTCTCTCTCTCTCACATATAGACACACATACATACACACCCATACATACACACGCGCGCGCGCGCTCAGCGTGGCCCTCCGTATTTATCGCTTTGAAGACGTCTACGTCATACCCGGCTCCTGATTGGAGGCGTTCGAGGGGCGCAGGGGGCGGCCACTAGAGCACGTCCATGACGACGACGTCCATGACGCGGGTGTGTGCGTGATCGCGGCGGCTGACGTCTTCAAAGTCTATCACGCCATCGCGGCACGCCGGCACGACCCCCAGGCACGAGCCACACGCGGGGAAAGGCGGTCGAGATAGAGAGGGGGCCGTCCCAGAGCGACCACCGCGTTCTCCACTCAATGTCAAACCAAGTGTGGTGAACTTTACACTTGGGGTAACTCACGGAGCCAGCCCAATCTCACCACTCTCCAAAGCCTACGAAGCATTTCCTTCATAACCACAAAGTAAATGAAAGCATTGGAGAATTGCTTCGTATTATGAAGAAATGCATCACCTTACGGAGGATTTTGCTTCATAATACGAAGCATTTCTTCCTAGATTTGACGATACCTTCATATTCTTCGTATTGCAAAGCGATTCTTCGTAGAGTTTTTACTGTGATGGTGCAAACGTGGAGAACCCAACACTTGAAATGTGGACACTGCAAACGCCAAATTTCCAAGTGCGAAAATTCCACTCCGCCCCGTTTCAAGTGTGGAGTTCTAAACACTTGGATGTTCAGTTGAACCCTCCATGTAGACATGACCAACAGACTCCTCTCGAAGACATCGGTGACTGATAAGGAAGCTTGCGTCACGGACTTTACTGCGCGGGTTCTGAGCGACCCGCAAGTGCGTCGACGATGGCGTATCGGCGTGCGCGGCCCTTGGCGCGCCTTGGCGTGGCCGCTATTCCGACGCGACTTATTAGCAGTGTGCTGTCTGGCCGGGCCCTTCTCTGGTTTATGGCAGCAGTGGCGCTTGGCGTGCACTGCGCCGAAGCAATGAAATTGGCCAAGTTCAGCCGGCAAAACCTCACCACCGAGGGACGGAATGCTGCACGCTGATGAGGTTGCCCTTCGAACGGCCGGGTTGCACCCACCCGCTTGGTATTTCCCCTTATATCCTCCCCAGATAACACTCCAAAGTACACTCTCCAAATGCCTTGCCTGTCAGTATAATGCGCGGAAAATGCTGTACTCTTTTTCTTCTACGGATCGATTTCACACAATGCTTTTCCGCTCTGTCTGTCTCGCACCCCTTCGATTTACCCTGTCAGTGAGAGAGAGACAGAGCGACGAAGCCACAGCTCGGAACGAGCCCGCTGCTGAAGCGGCGCGTGAAAAGAGAGCTACTTCCGGGGCCTCGTTACGCAAGGCCCAGCGAGGCGCGGTCCAGACGGAAGTGCACACTGGCGCATTCCGGCCGAGTTTTGGGAAACTAATTAACCCAAGTTTTTGATGACTCGCCCGGTCGGACGGCGGAGCGCTGTGGCGCTGGGCCGCCGGGGCGTTGGCGGCCTGTAAAACTAGGCTTAATCACAAACTTAATTACGCAACAGGGCATGTGGTCGGAAGCCGGCCGATGCTTGATGGCGCGTAACAGTGTTGTCGTTGGGCTTCCCGGCCGACGAGGACACAGCGGGGCACTCTTTTTTCCCGCTGTGCCTGTGGCAAAATCGAACGAGAAACAAAGTAAAAAGAAGTCGAGCCTGGCCAGAGAGCTGAAGTTTACGGCCAAGAGGACCAATCTCTTTTCGCCGCTCATTCAAACTGCATCAATGCGTTCAAGCTCATTTGCAGCTGGGGCGGGGCAGTGCCATTGTTTTAGCATTCGAATCGGACAAAATTAACATAACAGAGTCTGGTTTTGCAAATTTAACTACCTCTTATTGATTTCCTTGCGCTTCCTTTCCTTCCCGATCGGGGCGCGGCGCGACGCAGCAAAAGCGGCCCCTCCGCAGACTGACCCAGTTGGGAGGGGCGCGCACAAGATTAAATTAATAAAGTCTTTTTTCGTTGTTGTTGTCTGGTGACCGAGAAAAAGAACGACGATGCGGATCATAAACAAGTTGACGGGCTCGGTTTGACGAGCCCACCACGCGACAGATGGTTGGCTGGATAGAACGTGATGGTGAGTGTGTGGTGCAGATCGTATCTCTCTCTTCTCTTCTTTTTCGCGCGCGCCTTTGTGTAGGAGAGAGAGAGAGAGAGAGAGTCTGTTTATGTGTCTGGCCTCACTTTCGGTGCTGTGTCAACTGTTGCTACGTGGTTGCGGGACATGTGAACGAAAAGAGCGGTGAGGTCCTCTCGTGACTATTTGCAGAGCTACAGGCAAGTTTGCCCGAAACAAGAAGAGCACGAGGACAGCAGCTGAGACCGTGCGCCTGAATAAAAGAAGAGTAAACTAGACAAGAAATTGATGTTTGGTGCCCCTCATTTTCGACGGCAAATGCTTGTTTTTAAAGTTGAAAACAACCACCAGGATTTTTTTCCGGAGGGAGGAAGGCAATGTAGAATTGCTTCGAATAATGCGTACGTCCGTATAATACGTGTTAAGCAGGATGTTGATGCGTTCCATAAAGCAGTTTTTCGTAGATTTTTCGTTTTCTGCGTATTTTGTTTCATTACACCTTACGTAACTTCCTCTGTCTCTCTCGCACTCACTGGCAGCCCATCAAGGAGCAGCAAGAACAGCTATAGGAAAACGTTACCTAAAAGGTAAACGATGTTTTGCAGATTTTTTTTTGTGTGCCTTTTTATCCTTTTTTCGGTATCGTGGATGACAAAGCGCCGCTTTTGCTGGGTTTGCGTTCCTTTCGCCGGGCGTGACACGGCCAGGAGGGGCGGGCCGGGGGGCGTCCCCGCTGTCGCTGAATGAGTAAGAAGCCGCCTGTCTCGGGGACGGCGCCGCCGGTGTAGGACGACGTCCTGGACGACGTCCTGGACGGCGTCCTGGCAGACGGACGGAACGGGCGTGCATCCCGACGTGTGCAGAGTAAAATGCAAGCCTTCCGGCTGAATATTAACGAGACGGGAACGAGGGTCCTGCCTTGGGCTGCCCGCTTTTCCGGCGTTCGGTTCCCAGGTTGATGCGTTTTCCTGGGTGTTTTCTTACTCAGTGCCAACAGCCCCACAGTGTGGCCCCTCACCCCAGTGGACCACCACAAACGAGATTCTTAAAAATTTTGGGGTTTGCACAAAAACTAACTAAAACAGGACTCTCTTTGTAAGGGATTGAGTAACGCAGCTGAGGACGGTGGTGGTCAGGCCACGGTGCCACCTTAGTGAAGTTAGCTGAACCCATGGATTCAACCCTTGCCCCCTTCCAGTGGTGCAGCGCGCCACGTGTCCGACTGGCGAATTCGAGTGAAAAAGACTGCATAAAATATTCCCCTAATGCCCTGATGGCGGTATTTATGAGACTAAACGTCGCCCTCGCGTGAACTCGCTCGACATTTTGACTGCGTGCGCCACATTTTCCACCACGTGGAGGGCGCTCGTTGGCCCCTGTGGCTGCTAATCCAAAGCGGGGGTTTGACCGTAGTCGTCCAATACTGGGCAGAATAAAAGAGAGCGATGACAGTCGCCGTTTGAAACCTTTTGTGAGCGTGCACTGATAAAGTATTGTTTGGCCGGTATTATGACAACGTGGGTCGCGCGTTCGGGGAGGCTTCTTCTCTAAATACGTAACAGAATGGTGTGTATTCAGACTGTATAAAAAAAGGAAACTGTGCCACGCTCCGAGTGTCAGCGAGGCGACAATTAAAACAGTGACATCACCGATATCTCTTTGATCAGTGAAATGTGCTTTAAATCTGTCACTACTGATGTCATAATGATGTTGGAAATGTGACAATTTGTTATTACTTTTGGTATCTTAATCATTTATTCATCAAATCACTCATGAAACATTTTTATTTTCATCAGTGTTTTATTGACCACCTTCCGAATACACTCGGAGCAGCAGAGGACTAAAAAGTGGTGATAATGATGCCAATTATTTTGGAGTGGGCCAACTGTGAAACACTGCGTAACAGTCGGACAAAGTTTGCATGCCTGCAGCAGGGTATTGATCGTCACTTTCTTTTGTTTTTTCAGGATGACAGCGCAGCTATGCCGGCCCGTGTAACAACCCTGGCGTGACACCTGGGCGCAGGCGGTGCCCAGGGCACATGAAAGTAAGTGACAAAAACAGACACCTTTCGCTCGATTGGTAGAATGGCGCGACGTGGCGTCCATTTGCTTGCTACGTTAAAGTGGAAAAGTGGGACGTAATCCGTTTTTGTGCACACGGAGAAAAACAGTTGGTTATGTCCAGTCGTCCCGGTTCCAATAATATCCTCCTTGTGTCACCCGTTGCCAAGATTTCCATAAATATTACGGTGTGGGCCAAACAGTGGAATAAAATAATATGCGCATCAGTCTTCATTGTTTTCCCCTTTTTTTCATACACACTAAATGTTTTTGTACAAATCTTGTACGAGACATCACAGTTCTTTGTGCACCCGAACTTTTCGTACAAATTTGTACAAAATTTTGCACAATTTTGTACAAAAATGGCGAAAAGTGTGCAGTTGTTGTATGAAAATTGTACGAAAATTTCGTGTGCACTTAAAACTGTGATGGCTCGTACAAAACTGTAGATAACATTTAGTGTGTACGCCATACCATGTCGCTTAATTTTGTTCTCTTGGCCTTTTTTGTGGCATTTATTTATACACTAATTGGTGCTGAACCTCGTTTCTTTTTGCCGGTAGACCTCTTCACAGTCACACCAGCAATGAAGAAAAAAAACTTTTTGAGTAGTGTTTTTTTTTCGAAGGCATGCGGTGGTTTGCACCAGATGGCCGTTTTTGCGCTGGGCTCAAGCAACTTTCAAGTGCGGGTGTGAACCAGGTGACGGATGGAGTCTGCCCCCTTTATTCATGGCCGCGGGGCCTGCACATTAATATTTCTTTTCTCTCTCGTCGAAAGGGCGTTACCTGGCGTTACGCGAGGGCTCGTGAATTGAGGGCGGGACTGAGCCCAGCCCGGCGTGGCTGGTCCAGGAGGGGCCGTTGAGGGCCTGCCCCTTGCCCAGCAGACTGATTCCGAGAGCCGTTCTCGTCGCTCTGTCTCTCTCGCAACTATACGGGACGCCCCATGAGTGCGAGAGAGGCACAGCGACGAAAACGACTCCCGGAATCAGTCGGCAGCCTGCCCTCCCGCTGCTTTGTGGCTCATTCGTTTGCATGATCGTGGCGCCGTACGCTTTCGTGCGAGCCACAGCATTAGCGGTGCACTGTCGAGTAGAACGGAGGGAGAATCACCGTAAAAATATGATTCGCGGACTTACAAAAGGTACCTCTGAAAAAAAAAGGATGTCCGCAAACCCACGAACGTTTGTCGCAGATTAACGAAAGGCTTTCGTTCATTCACGAACAATTTCGTGAATAACGCGGAATAACGTTAGAAGCGATAATTTTTCAGCAAATGTACCTTTGTTCATTCCCAAATTATTTGTTACAGTGCGGGCGGAAGGGAACGAAAAGGTTGGGGGACAAAAGCGGGCGCGAAAGGGATGCAATTTTGTAAAGGGGGAAAAAGGAAAAAAAAATTGGATGGGAAGGTAGCCATGCGCGCTGCTGTATGGGGGAAGGCTGCCGAAGCGGCCGTGTCTAAGTGCCTCCAGTGTGATGCGCGCCATGGAGGCTGCCAAAGCGCCACGAACCGAAGGCCGAACGCCTGGCGAACGCCCCCGAGGGGGCCGGGCGGCCCTTGGGAGGCTGAAGCCCCGGAATGAATGGCAGTGTCCCTGTTTGTGTGTGTGTGTGTGTGTGTGTGTGTGGCGGGGGTCTGTGTCTATTTGTCCCCCACTGCCACTCATACACCGGCTCACACAATCAAGCTGGGGGCAAAGAGAAGCAGTGACAGACAAATTGGCGCCAGGCAAGTAGGCCACACACAGACACACATACAGAGAGAGAGAGAGAGAGAGAGACAGAGAGACAGAGAGAGAGAGAGAGAGAGAGAGAGAGAGAGAGAGAGAGAATGAGAGAGAGAGCAGCGCGTGCACGTCGGACCTCCTGCCCCACCTTGCGACGCCGCTTAGGTAATGCGGGGCGACAGGAGCGCGTCTGGTCTGGACCTGGACGTATACGCCAAAGCACGTGCGTCCGTGTATCTCTGTGTGTGTGTGTGTGTGTGTGTGTGTGTGTGTGAGAGAGAGAGAGAGAGAGAGAGAGGAAGTGGGTCTGCCCTTGGCCTCTGTGGTGCTTTGGCCCCCAGGGCATATCAAGCAGCAGCTGGAGGATATGCAGGTGGGAGAGGCTTGCGTCGGCCCACTCTCCCCCTTTTCCTTCGGCGAAATTGAAAAAGAAGTGCGGGGTTCTGTTTTTATGAGAAGAGTATACGAGAAAACATGGGCCATGAAATTCGTGGTGGTTTAACCCTGTCTCGCTTTCGATTTCCACCCTTGGTCAAACTTAGATGTCGGACCACGTTCAGAACATGCTGGGCAATCATCTGTAGCTCCGTTGCACGGAAGTAATGTGGTTGGTGTCCCTGCCGGTGTCTGCCTCTTCTTTCGGCCGCTGTGTTGGCCAGTGAACCCCTTGTATGTCCAGCCCATGATGCGAGGCCTTATCTTGCCCTTTCGGCCGGGGCAGCCGGCAGCAGCCGGACCCAGCTTAGTCCTCTGCTGTGGCCGGGGTAATCCCGGTCAGGTTCAAGGATGACAACGGGAAGAAGGAGCAAAATGATCCTTACAGTGATGAAAGAGTAGATTTTGAAGTTTAACGCACAGTGTGTCTCACTGTGCGGGCCTACCCTCCCCCCCTCCCCAAGGAATAACAATGTTTCCGGGGGCGGCCCGCACCAACCCGGGGCAGAGGAAGTGGTGCCACCAACTCCCCGCCCGCGGCCAGGGACTTGGCCAAGCAGGACGAGACTGCCGGGGGAAGGCATGAATTTTGGAAAAAGGCAAACTTGGATCAGCCCCTAAAAGGCTGCAGTGGGTTTTCTCCCTTTTTTGCCCCCACGCTCGCCTGCGCAAACGGATATGGAAAAAAAAACAAGACAGCACTATGGGGAACTGGGGGCGGTCCCACCGGCGTCAGACGGGCGGCTTGGAAAGGAGAATTTGGCCGGACCCGCCGCCCTGGTGCCCCTGGTGTCCCGGGTTGGCTGTTGGGCTCTCTTGCTGGTCCCCGGCCCCTCTTTCCCCGGGCTCGCCCGGGCGGCCGACGCGCCCTCGGCCCTGCTGAAACCCTGGGCAACATGGCGCGGGGGCCCCCGCCGCGGCCACACAGCGGCCCTTTGGCGGGCCCTAGTTTTTGGCCTGGCCCCCGCCCTGGCTGGCCCCTGGCTGGCCCCTGGTTGGCCCCTGGCTGGCCCCTGGCTGGCCCCTGGCTGGCCCCTGGCTGGCCCCTGGCTGGCCCCTGGCTGGCACCTGGCTGGCCCCTGGCTGGCCCCTGGCTGGCCCCTGGCTGGCCCCTGGCTGGCCCCTGGCTGGCCCCTGGCTGGCCCCTGGCTGGCCCCTGGCTGGCCCCTGGCTGGCCCCTGGCTGGCCCCTGGCTGGCCCCTGGCTGGCCCCTGGCTGGCCCCTGGCTGGCCCCTGGCTGGCCCCTGGCTGGCCCCTGGCTGGCCCCTGGCTGGCCTCGCCACACCGCCGCGACTAGGCCACACCCTGGGCCCTGGGAGGCCGAACGTCCGTCGGGAACAGCGCGGCCGCCGCGTGCGGTGTAGTGGCGGTGCGCGTGCACGGTCTCCATGGGGCCGTGCGCCGCCGTGCGCTAGTGCACTCTGCAGTAACCCCGCCGCACAGTGGGCCAGAAGACCGGTGGAGGTGGCCAAAATTCTAGACGCGTTTTGAGCTCCAGCGTCGCTAAACTGGACTCGAATCGGACGTGTGACCCCACCAATGGATTCCTCGTTCGGAGAGCATTCCATTGGTGGGGTCACACGTCCGGTTCTCAACACTGGCCTGGCGAATCCCTGACACTATACCGCTCCGAGACACCACTTTACAGGCAGTATACCTCTGGAGCGTGCCTCGTAGTCTCGGACGGCACTGAGTGTCTGGAGCGCGCCGAGGCTCAGACACAATAAACCCGAAATGGGCTTAAGGCCCCACTTCTGTGTGCCCGGCATGCCAGTGGGGCGCGGATAGCTGGGCGCCAGGAGGGCTGCCCACCCTGGAGGCACACTGGATGAGGTCTCTGCTGTTGAAGGAGAGTGGCCGTGGTGCGTCTTGCCTAGCCCAGCCTGCTCCTGCATGCCGTTTGCTGCACCGACGGAGTGCATCGCCCGAGGCCCGGCCAGTGCAAGGCTGCTGTGTGTGCTCGCGCGTAGCGCTCAACCGTGCCACTCGAAAAGCGTGGAAAGTCGCAAACACAGTACAAAGTCTACACTCTCAATTTCCCATTGTGAAATGCTGTGCATTCATAATACTAGGCTTAGTATCCGTAGCCATGAAGCGGCTGCCTCGTACACTCTTTTTGTACAAACAACTCCTAATCCCCTATGCACTAGGTGCATGCTTCAGTAAGCGTGTACTTGGCATGTATGCACTGTTAAAAAAAGTGCTGTAAATTAACAGCACTTATGCTGTTAAGTTTGATAGCAACACGACTTGTTATATTACAAGCATGTTGTAGCCCTCGGTGCTGTTTTCTGACAGTTCGATTGTAATAAAACAATACTTCTTCGAAGTCTTCGACGATGTCTTCCCAACATTTGTGCACTGTTAGAAATTAGCTCCGAAATTTTATGGAGAAAAACCCTATAATCACGTTCATGGAGACTCCATTCATTTTCCATTTTTTTTCGGAGAGATTTTCTCAGGGTTTATACAGATGTTCTTTGGAGCATTCCTTGGGTCCAGATAGGAGGTAAAATGCAAGTCTTTTCTCAGATATATTAAAGAGGACTTCGCTGAAGCATTTTTCGGTCTGAAATGGTCAAAGAAGGGACAATCTCATTCGAGCTCATTTGACTTATATCCTGTAGCTTTCCCTTAATATTATGAAAACTGAGGTCAAGATCAAGAAGTAGGGGTTCACCCTTCCCTCAATTTTTAACTGGTTGCAAACCTTTTTTTCGTGTTTTTGTGATGGTGCAGCATATATTTTTGTTCAAAATTCCGAAATTTTTCGGAGAAAGCCCAGAATTTGCATTTATGGAGAGCTCCATGCAGAAGTTTCGGAAAAACTCCATGATTTTTCCATTTTTTTTTTTCGGAATTTTCTGACAGTGTGTTGATTTCATCGTGCTGTTATTAAACAAGACCCTTGTCACCTGACAACAATATATGTTTTAAAATTGCAAAAGGCTGTTTCTTAACATGAAACCTGTTCAACGACAACACAACTGTTTTTAATCACGATTACATTATTGTTACTTGACAAGAAAGTTGTTATGGAACGAAAGTGCTGTTTCTGGATGGGTTTCCCGTTCAGATACAAAACAATACGGTTGTCATTTAACAGCATTACTGTAGGTGATTGTGTTGTAATATTACAGTGGATTTTTAACAGTGTGCACTGGTAAGTGAATGCTTGGCAGGCATGCGCTAGCTAGAGCGTGCTTGCAGGCATGCTCCAGGTAGAGCATACAATGTACGCTTTTGGATTTGTAGAGAATTAACCGAATTTACGTTCGATGTGCGGAGGGGCTTGGGTTCTTATTAGCACGGCTGGAATTATTAACAGTGGAGGGGCGGTCGAAAAGGCGTTGGTCGATCGACCGTGCCTGCCCAGCACTCCGGATTAATTCAGAGGCGGGGCGGGGCACACCACTGCCATTCCAGTTGCAAGGCCCTCTAACTATCCATGTTTCCAAATATGTGTGAGCCTTTCACCTTCCATTTATTTCTATATTTTCAGGCCGTGCAGTACTTGAGTAGGCACTGCGCTTTTCTTGATAGCGCTTCGTTTTCGAGCGAGTACCGTATCGTTTCCTTGGAGATGGGTGGCATACATTTTGACAGGAAGGGGGTGGGGGTGGGTTTCATGTTTTATTAATCATGTCGCGTTAACTGACCAGGACGCAGTCACCGCCGAGTTGATTAGAATTTTCAAGCTCTGCATTGATTCAGAGAGGGATGGGTTCCGGCAGGGCCGCTGTTGTTAGAGCGAGAGGGAACGAGGTCGTTGTCATTAGGGGCCATTACCTCTGACCGGGCGGCGGGCCGGCCCCGCTGACGGAGCGAAGCAATATTCCTTGTTGTTGTTTATGGTGCTGTTTGTCATGGCTGCCAAAGCCCTGCGCGCACCTTATCGTCAAAAACTGTCGCCCTTTGATTCGGAACTGAATTTCCTCAATCACCGCTCACTTCCTTTGTCGAGTGTCCCGTCTATGAGGGTATGTCCTTCTTTGCTCTCCAAACGAGGAATCCATTGGTGGGGTCACACGTTCAGTTCGAGTCCTATTTTGTGACTCTGGAGCTCAAAACGCGTCTAGGGTTTTGGCCGCCTCCACCGGTCTTCTGGCCCACTGTGCGGTATGCAGTGCAGGGTCTTCATCGACTCGACGTGTCGTTTGTGTAAAATGAGGCGGCGTGTCGCTTTATGATTGGCGCGTGTAATGCACACACAGCGCGCGCCGCGTAGCAGCGCGTAGCGGCGCTGCATTGTTCCAGCGAGACAAGCGGTTGTTACGACGCCAAAGTTATGCTGCCGGGACACGCAACTGGCGCCGCTGGGCCGCTAATGTGGAATGGCGCGGCAAACTTCGGCACTAAACGCCGCGCAGCCGCGCATCTGGGCCTGGGCGGCCTGGGCGGCCCGGGCGGCTCGCAGTGTGTGGCCGCCGCCATGGCGCCGTGCCGCCGTGCAGCGTTATGTGAAAATCGCACAGCCTGCTGTGTTGTTGCGACCGATAACGCCTCTGTCCCAGCGGGAAATGCTAAAAAAAAATACACGAAGAAAAACAGAAAAAAGAAAATTTTTGTTACTTGAAATAAATGTAGGAAATTGAATTTACCAAAACAGAGATGACAATTGAAATGTACCGGCAGTGCGCAATCGTCTGTTTACGCCATTCTTCAAGCATAGAAGTTGCTACCCTTGGCTTCAAGCGTACCTCTCCTTTTCGACCCTTAATTTCATGGAACTTAAATTGTCGCTCTCGTAATAGTTTTCTATGTGTTGTAAAACAGGCGTTTCGGTGTGAACAACGTGAAAGTCATTTCCCACACCGGGTGTTTCCGGCCCCGCGGGGGCGTGCCGTCGCCGTGCCGTCGCACAGTGGGCCAGAAACCGGCGGAGGCCCGGGTTAATCTTGCTGCTGCTACGCTGTTGGACGAAGCGCTGCCTTCATTTGGCAGTGCACAACCGCAGTCGACCGCAGTGCGAGCCCCAAGCGCACCGCACCGGGACCAGTGGACCGATTCCGAGAGTCGTTTACGTCGCTCTGTACATCTCGCACCTGTACGGGGCGCCCCGCTAGTGCGAGAGAGACAGAGCGTCGAAAACGATTCTCGGGATCGGTCTGCAGACGAGGACACGGGATTGTGGTGCCGGCCGAGGGTCCGTCGCTGCTGCGGTCCAAAGGTTGTGTGCACGTGGCTCCTTGGTGTGTTTATGTCCGGCCGTCTGTGTGTGTGTGTGTGTGTGTGTGTGTGTGTGTGGCTGTGGCTGTGCTGGAGTGAAACTAACTACCGCTGTGATGTACGGCAGTGGCTGGGGACGGCAGCGGGACATCTGGCGAAGCTTTGCCCCCTAGACCGGCCGGGGAGGGACGGCTTGTCAAAGCCACTACTCTCGTCGGCCCGCTGCGCGCGCTGCGTCCCGAGTCCCGCGCCCCGTGCCTCGTGCTTGGCAGCGTGACCGCTGATCAAAGCGCGGCCCCTCGTTTTCCCCGGTCTTCGCATTCTCTAGGATTCACCGGGTGGATTTTCTATTTGCATACTTTCTGCCTTCGCACCTGCACTCTAAATGTTGTACTGTGAAGATTCTCCATATTATGGTTAGAATGTTCCATATTATGGTGATGCAGCTGACTTCGTAACATACCATTGAGAATTCACTGTACCTTATAGATATTTTGACGAATTTCGTTGGTATCATGGAGAAAATCTCCACCATAATATGTTGGTGTAGCCTTTCACCGTAAGACATTTACAGTGTGTCTCCCGCTGAGGTAGGTTGAGTTTGCGGCAGTTCATTCAGAACAGTCACTATAAAGGAAATCGTGGCCGACTGTGGGGAAATGGAAGGACGGGTTGTTGCGCGCCATGTACGTCGAAGAAGATGACCTGTGTGCACAGTGCAGCACCGGCAAAGGTCAGGCAGAAGGGCGTTCCACCCTTTAATCTTTCCGTCTACCTTCCGCTCGCCTGTCCGTCTGCCTGTCTGTCTGTCCGCCCGTCTGTCCGCCCTGCCAGCCCACCCTGACCGGGTTCGGCGCTTTCACTCCCATTAAGCTCACACCCTCATTACCCCTTTTGAAGACCCAGTGAGGCGGGCCTGTCTAAATTTGGCTCGCCGGGGTGAAGGGACAGGCAGAACCCACCGGGTGACCTGACCGAAAAAGGCGGCTGTTTGGACAACTCGAATCGAGGATATGTTTATCTCTCTGCACTGTAAATCGGAAGGTGAGACATGCCGTCCCAGGAGTGAGACATACCTGTTGGACCTAAGAAGCGGTCAAACTTTGATGTATGGCCGAAAAAAGGGTGATACTTTTCTGTGTTACCGATAAAAGGGGAATGTTTCTTCAAGAAAAACAAGAACCAGTCTCGTTGATGCCCGAACTTTTTTTCGGGGTCATTCATTGGAGTATTACCGAGTATTACCCTTTTTTGGTCATACATTTGAGTTTTGCGTTCCGATGGCACTGTTTGTACCGCTGAAAACTGGTCAGGTGTCTCACCCTTCGAATTTCAGTTTATTCTGGTTTCTCTTTTGCAACTCTTGGCCCACTTTCCTTTGCTGCCATAGCCGGCAGGAGCCGATAAATACGTTATATGGGAGCCGCAGGTGGAATTGCCAGCGCGGCCTGCGGGTCCCTCTTGCAAGTCCTGGCGGAGGGAGGGTGGCGCTACCCCGCGCTGGCCGGCTCACGCCGGGGGTCGCGGCGTCGCTACCCCACGGCGCCCGGCTCGCCGCCCGGTGTGCCCCCTGCGAGAGTGCTGCCCTCTGGCGGGGCGAGGCGGCCGACGGCGATACCCTCGCTCAGAAAAGGAAAGGGGGTGGAAACTCCAAGCAGTGCTTTCGTCGCTCTCTCTCGCTCTCGAGTGGCAGCTCGTAGGGGTGCGAGAGAGAGAGGTGTTAGCCTGGCGGTGGCGTGACGACCGAGGCTCCACAACGCACCGTCTTGGCCGCGAGGCTTATCAGCGCGCCATTACTGCCCCATTCACTGGTGTAATGCCTGCATCATTAAACATGCCCACAATACTTTACATTTTATCTTGTCGAGTGAGGCGCACGCACTGGCCGGACACGCGTCGCAGGCGCGGATCCAGAGGAAAAGGAGGGGGGGGGTGGATAGGAGTGCTGCCATCCCCTGTAAAGGTAGCAAAGCTGCATTAAAGGTTGGCAACACGTCGAATTTTCGCGACATCGCCACGGCGCGGAGGTTTTCCGCACTGTCAGCAGGTTGGGCTCTGGGGTCGCGACCCTGGACACAGCTTGGCACGGGGTTGAGTTTTAGCGGCGCTAATCCACCGCTGTGGCTGTTGCAGGTGACGGCGATGATGTCAACATGAGCTCGGGGGCGGATGAAAGCTCCCAGCTGCTCGCCCGGACGCCACATGTCACCGTCGTGTCCGGGGGCGGCGGGGGCGGGGGCGGCGCGGGGGGCGGCGCCGCGAGCAGCAGCAGCGGCGGCGGCGGGGGCGGGGCGGCCGTCGGCGATGCCGCCGCGGGGGGCGGCGACTCCACCCCGCCGGCGTCCACCTCCACCGCCAGCCCCTACCTGGTGCGCACGCCGACCGTCACCGTGGAGGCGGCGCCCAACAGCACCACCAGCAGCAGCCCCGAGGCGGGGGCCACGCCGTCGGCGTCCGGGAGGCGCGCCTCGGTGAACCCCGCCATGGGCCCCGCCATGGGCAAGCCCGTGCTCATCCGCCAGGACTGCACCACGTTCCTGCACTCGTCCGGCGGCCTGGGCTACGGCCTCGGCGGCTCGGAGGAGTCCGCCACCTCGGCCACGGGCTGCGCCGAGGACACGGCCACGCGCTCCGTGCCCGACCTGGAGCTGCACTGCCGACTCACCGGACAGGTCAGTGGAGTGGCAAGACTGCCTTACTTTCTCTTCTGTAGATTTTCAATTGAATCAAACTATGAAAGTTCAAAGAGTAACTCCTTAAGTCTTTGCTGTGCCAAGCACCAGCCTTTCGATGCCGTGGTCACTGCATTAACTCAGTCTTCAGAGTCGATTTTAAATTTATAAAATGCGTGTAAAATAAATGAGCGATCGAACGGAACCGTCGTTGGCGGCCCTGTGACGCCTGGCCTCGCCGTGCAGACGATTGGACGCTAGGGCAGCGGTTCTCAATCTTTCTCGGCTCGCGACCCCAAATTTGTAGCCAAAAATTTCCGCGACCCCCAGGAAAAGTTTCGCGACCCCACGGGACCCCTCCTTTAGCATGCCACTGCGTCTGATCCGAGGCGGGCATTTTGCTCCCTCAACGGGCAATTGGTCTTTGGACCTTCCTTTAGCATGCCTCTGTTACGGAGTGCGATTATCAGTCTTAGTTTGGGAGCAGTATTGTCTGAAAGTTGGCCAAAACGCTCAGAAATTCCTTGAAAAAATCATGTTTTGGGTCGATTTTAAGCAGCCACTGCGTCTGATCCGAGGCGGGCATTTTGCTCCCTCAACGGGCAATTGGTCTTTGGACCTTCCTTTAGCATGCCTCTGTTACGGAGTGCGATTATCAGTCTTAGTTTGGGAGCAGTATTGTCTGAAAGTTGGCCAAAACGCTCAGAAATGCCTTGAAAAAATCATGTTTTGGGTCGATTTTAAGCAGCCACTGCGTCTGATCCGAGGCGGGCATTTTGCTCCCTCAACGGGCAATTGTTCTTTGGACCTTCCTTTAGTATGCCTCTGTTACGGAATGCGATTATCAGTCTTAGTTTGGGAGCAGTATTGTCTCAAAGTTGACCAAAACAGGCACAACGATTTTTCAAAGACATTTCTGAGCGTTTCGGTCAACTTTGAGACAATACTGCTCCCAAACTAAGACTGATAATCACACTCCGTAACAAAGGCATGCTAAAAGAAGGTCCAAAGACCGATTGCCCGTTGAAAGAGGACGAAATACCGCCTCGGGTCAGACGCAGTGGCTGCTTAAAATAGGCCCAAAACACGATTTTTCAAAGACATTTCTGAGCGTTTCGGCCAACTTTGAGACAATACTGCTCCCAAACTAAGACTGATAATCACACTCCGTAACAAAGGCATGCTAAAGGAAGGTTCAAAGACCAATTGCCGGTTGAGGGAGCAAAATGCCCGCCTCGGATCAGACGCAGTGGCTGCTTAAAATCGGCCCAAAACACGACCCCAGCTACCTCGCCGCGACCCCTTAAAATTTTTTCGCGACCCCACTTGGGGTCGTGACCCTAAGGTTGAGAACCGCTGCGCTAGGGCCTCGCAAAACGCTCGGCCAAGGAAGCGGCGGTGTCGGCTGGCCGCCCGCACCAGACACATTCCGAGAGTCGCTTTCGCCGCCCCGTCTCAGTCGCTCCCGCGGGGCGCGCCGTACGGGTGCGAGAGAGACAGAGCGACGAAAGCGGCTCTCAGTTTGCAGTGCAGTGGCCCGGATGCCGCAGCTCGCGTTTATGTGACGCTGGCGGAGGGTCGGCCCGGACCGAGTCCGGACTCGCCCGGACCGGATGCGGTTTTTGCGTCGCTCTGGCTGCGGCCGCCCCTGGCCGCCACTGTAGTCCGTCGCTCTGTCTCTCTCGCACTCACGGGCGCCCCGCATAGGTGCGAGAGAGACAGACCCTCGGGCTGCTGGCTGGATGAGCATCGTACAGTGGCGGCGCCGGGTTTCCGGGGATTCGCTGCCGGGATGGCCCTGCCCGTGACCGGGCGGCCGCATTTCCCTCGCTGGCCCCGACTTATCGGTGAGACGTGGCGGGGCGGGGCGGGGCGGGGCGGATTGGAGTGGGCTCAAGGCGACGCGCGGTCGCAATCCCGCTATTCATTACAGTGATAAATAGCGTCTGTTTCTAATCTTCCAACAAGCAATTACTGGAATGAATTCCTTTCGGCGTCCGACATTGCGACGCGACGCGCGATCGGACGCGACCCAACTTTGATGAAATGCGCAACGAACGGCCGTCGACGGGACGATTTCGTTTAACTGGGCATTTTTTCGTAGTGTGCATGTTCCTCGACGTGCACTGTGGCACTAATTTTTTTCCTTAAACAAATTGAGGGAACTTTCAATTTTCAGAGTGCACCCGACAGGGGTGGGGCCTCGGCCTCGGCCTGCCCCGAGGCCTGCTTTGCGTGTCCTGTGCGTGCCGCGTCGGAGGCGGCCTCGCGAAGGACTCTGGCCAGTTTAGCTGCCTTGATGGGTCTTGAATGAAATCCTTCGACGCTTGGTGTCACGCAACGGCCGGCAGTCCGATTCAGAACAGTGTCGTGCTCGGTCGCGCCGTCTCGCTCGCACCCGGGCCGGCCGCCCTGTGAGAGCGAGAGAGAGACTGGACGACTGTTCGTCTCTCTCCCACTCATTGACAGTCGGGGAACAGTACCGAGGACAAAAGTATGGAAAATCGATACGTCATTTGTCGACGATTCCTTTCGTCGAGTCGCCCGCCAGGATGTCCATTCACACCTCTGTTTTTCATTCGCACTTTTCCTTCTCGATGGACAGTCGAAGCGCTCAGTGGCCGCCGCCCTGCACGCGACCGGAATTTGGGCGACGTATTAACGGGATCAATTTGGGCGCCGCCCCGCCACCCCACTGTCCCACCGCCCTGGTGCCCCGCACAGTGGGCCAGAAGACCGGTGGGGGGCGGACAAAACTCTAGACGCGTTTTGAGCTCTAGAGTCGCTAAACAGGACGTGTGACACCACCAATGGACTCCTCGTTCGAAGAGCTGTCCATTGGTGGGGTCACTCGTCCGGTTCGAACCTCATTTAGCGACTCTGGAGCTCAAAACGCGTCTAGAGTTTTGTCCCCCTCCACCGGTCTTCTGGCCCACTGTGCGCCGCCTCACCGCCGCTCCGCACACCTGGCCGGCCGGCTAATCGTATTTAGGCGCGGACGGGGCTCGCCGGCTCGCCCGCACTGTGTACACTGCAAAAGTAGTTTGCCCTGCAGCGGTGCCGTGCCGTGCGCGCCGCGTGGGGTCGGCTTGGGCGTCTCCTCCCGCCGGCAGCCCAGGGCAGCCTAATGAGTTTGGCCGGGCCCTTCAGGGCCTCCAGGGCCTCCAGGGCCTCCAGGGCCTCCAGGGCTCCAAGTGGGTCGACGAGGCCCTTGGCCGCCTCCCCCGCGAGTGCAGCCAGGCCGTGCAGCCAGGCCGTGCAGCCAGGCCGTGCATCCTGCCAGACCCGCGGCGAAGGTGTCTGGCGCACAGTGGGCCCGAAGACCGGTGGAGGCGGACAAAACTCAAGACGCGTTTTGAGCTCCAGAGTCGCTGAATGGGACTCGACGAACGTGTGACCCCACCAATGGACTCCTCGTTCGGAGAGCAATCCATTGGTTGGGTCACACGTTCGGTTCGAGTCCCGTCTAGCGACTCTGGAGCTCGAAACGAGTCCGGGATTTTGACCACCTCCACACCCATCTTCGCGCCTGCGAAGTGCCGGCCGGGCAGGCCCGCCGAGCACGCCTGCGCGGCGGGCTAGTCTACCTCCGCGCCTGCAGGCGCTCGGGCGGGCCGGCCCGCGGTGCGCGGCTGTCCGGCGGGCGGGCCTACCTTGGCGCCCGCAGGCGCGGAGGTAGACTAGCCCGGCGCGCAGGCGTGCTCGGCGGGCCTGCCCGGCCGGCACTTCGCAGGCGGCCTGGCGGCGCTGCGCGCGCGTAGCGCGTCAACGTTTTACTCCCACCGATCGAAATTCGTGGAAGAACTTCTATTGAATCGTGTACTTGAAGAAAGTGTAGCTTCACCATAGGGGGTCCGTTTTTTTCCCGATAGTGCGCCGTTAGCTCCAAGGCAAGGCATCGCGATGAGATCGGCGGCGTATTGCAGTGCTGCGATCGAGCTGGCTGGACGGAACATCGCGCTATCGGGCAGCCTGATCCGCCGTCTCCCGGCTCCAAGGTCCCCATGCCTCAGCGCTCTGTCTCTCTCGCACCTCCAGGGAACGCGCCGTGAGCGCGAGGGAGACAGAGCGACAGTGTACCCGGTTGAGGCGACGCCGCTGTGACGCCGCAGCGATGGCCCCCCCATTCTGCCGCCCCGCAGACCGATTCCGAAAGGCGTCCTCTGTCTCTCTCGCACCCGTGAGAACGCCCCGTGAGTGCGAGGGAGACAGAGTGACGACTCTCGGAATCAGTGTGCTGGCGGGCCGCTCTCGGGGGTGCATGCATACCATATACCCCTTCCCGGTGTCCTGTGAGGCGTGTCCTCCAGGATTAGACCCCCGAGATTGTGGGCGCGGCGCGGCCAGCACGCCGCGGCACGGCAACGTGACCAGCGCGCCTTATCTGGCGCAGTGTGCATGCCAGACACACGGAGGCCGCAGTGCACAGTGGGCTAGAAGACCGGTGGAGGCGGCCAAAATTCTTGGAGCTCCAGAGTCGCTGAATGGGACTCGAACCGAACGTGTGACCCCACCAATGGATTGCTCTCCGAACGAGGAATCCATTGGTGAGGTCACACGTTTGGTTCGAGTCCTGTTCAGCAGCTCTGGAGCTCTAAACGCATTTGGCGTTTTGGCCGCCTCCACCGGTCTTCTGGCCCACTGTGCGCAGCGTCGGCGCCCCGGCACGGCACGGCACGCTCCAAGCGTGGTATTGGCAGCAAAGCGGCCTTTTTGTGTAGCCTGGATGCGCGGCCGCTCTCCCCGAAGGGCATTTTTAGCGTTGAGCGCTACTTGATGGCGATCTCCGGGTTGCATCTTCTTTTTTTTTCGCAAGAATCGATAGGTTACTGCCGCTCTTTAAGGAAAAATCCCGGCCCATCCCGAGGAGAGGGTTTTCACCGTGCGTTGTTTCGTGGTCGTTTGTGTGTGTGCGTGCGTGTGTGTTGGCAGGGCGGTCTGGACGTGACGTTGCTGCTCGTGTTGCAGGACGGGCTGAGCCAGGGCCAGGTGGTGCCCTGCCGGCCGCGGGGCTCGGTGTCGGGCGCGGCGGGCTACCACCTGCTGCCGCACTCGCGGTGCCGCGGCTGCGACGCGCGACGCGACTCGTCGGCGCTGCTGCTCCCCATCCCGAGGTCCGTGTCCAGGGAGTCGTGCCACGGCCTGCATGGCGGCCACCAGCACGGCCTCGGGCCGCCCGCCCTGCTGCTCACGGCCTCGCCCACGTCCTCCAGGATCATCCGGCAGTCGTCGCAGCCCGAGGCGCACTGCTGCTACCACGTGCCCTCCTCGGCGCCCACCTCGTCGCTGCGGCAGCTGCGCGAGCCGGGCGAAGGCATCGCCATGATCGCCGCCGACTCGCTGCGCTTCAACGGCGCCATCCGCCAGTTCAAGCAGGTAAGGGTGGACGCCGCGCCAGGCCGCGCAGCCGCAGGCCCGCAGGCCCAAAGGCGCGGATCCAGGACCCACACACTGCAAAAAAGAAAAAAATCGGAAAAAGTTTGGACCTTCCTATCTGGTTGCCCCTGGGTTGCCACCTGGATCCGTGCCTGCCCAGCCATTTTAAACGCCAGCCTCACATGTTGTCACTATACCCATGCAAGTGAGAACCACTCACCCGACCAAGCGCCTCGATTGAACATGTTTACAAATACTTTTGGAAATTCATGGAACGTGATGAACTGTCCTTTGGCATGTCATGACCCTAGAGGAAAACCATCAGCCGTTGACAACTGGCAAGCTTCCTGGTACCAGGCAGTAATATTTTAATATGGCATATTTTTTCACGTCTCCCTTAACTCTGTGGCTCTGTTGAGTCTAGTGCGACTGTGTCGTCTTCGCGCAGGGAGGTTTTACCGAAGATGCAGTACAACACACCACCAGAGCAAATGTTCACTACTTTGCAGATTTTGTTTTGGAACAGGTGAAAACTGGATGAATATCCCGGGGAACACGCCACTAAATGTTAATTTTTTTTCGTAGTTATGTTTTTTGGTTCCTCCAGTTTTTGTGTTTTGATGATGGAGCGAAGAGCGTCTAACCGGTTGTTTGACAATACGGCGGACACGGAATGGCCCAGCTGGGCCGGCAAATTGGAAAAGACAAGTGCGAGACGACGAGCACTAGCTGCCCTGCACAGTGTGCTGTCGACACTACAACGCACGTGTGTGTTGTGGCGCGTTTTTTTTTAATAGTGTCACGACATCCCCCTGCACAACACACTCGGAAAGATAGTTGTTTTTCGTAAAGAACGGCGCCTGATTTCTGAAAAAAAAAAAAAAAAAAAAAAAAAGCGAACAGACATTGGTTGTTCAAGCATGCGTGAGTTTGGTTGGCAACTTAACTCGAAAAACCGTGCTGTAATGTGATTAAAACTTGTCGCAAGCCGCTTTTTTCTGGCCAACCTTAACTAACGCCTTGCGCAACTCGTATACTCGCTATTTGTTTCGAGATTGACCGCCGTTCCGGAAACAAGTATTTCTTTTCGGACACTGGCAATCGCCCCTTGGTTCTGGGCGCGCCGAAGCATGGCAGGAATAGCCTTTTTTGTGTGACTAGTGGAAGTTCTTTTCGCACCGTTGCATTCTCTTTGGAGCGGGCGAGGGCCAAAATATAGGTTCAGAGGGACACGGCAACTGTTTCAAAAACACTTAATCATTTTAAAAGTATCGGGGGGAAACCTGCCTTAGGACAGACTTTATGACTCAATCGTGGCCACACTTACTAGGCTCGGCAGTACTCAGTGCTCTGTAAGAAAATCAAGAAAACACGTTTCCGAAGGAAACCAAATTGTGTCCAATCTAATTTTCTATAATTCGCACCATTTTGTTCCATAAAACGACAAACTCACTAATATTTAGTCCAATCTTTGCCGTTATTTAAATTATGACATAAAAATATTGATGTAAGGTTAATATAATAAATCACAGGTAACTGGAATGTCCCATTCAAACAATCTCATAATTTTCGCTTTTGAACATTTTTGTTAAAACGTTACGGTTAGGAGTGAAAACTTAAATATTCTAAAATTCTACTTTGAGGGTTCATTTGTACAGAATGTTTTATCTAAGCATGGATTTTGTATCTGCGCTGTATTTATACGCCCCCTATGTCTTCTGTAGGCTTGAGCTTTGTTCTAAACTGCAACTTAAACTGAAATGTTGAAAGGGACCTTCTTTTTTGCCTCCGCCTTCTACTCTATAGTTGCCGTAATGCTCTGATAGCACTCTTTGTCTTTCTGCCTTCCCGTATTCTCGCTCTGTCTGACCTTAAGCTGCATTTTAGTTTCAGTCTACCATACAGACGCGGAACTGACTTTCTTGGTATAGCGCGGCCTTGCCTTCTGCACGTCGCACTAAATGTCCAACTTTGCCCCGCTCTCTCGGCGTATTCAAATAACCGTCCTTACAGTGGCAACAGAATTAGTTTCCAGACACCTCAAAAAGACTCCACTGTCCACGTCCTCTGTTAAATCGCAAAAGAAAACGAAAACGGATGCCCCTCTTTTACTGAAAGGATCTTAATAGTTAACTTTTAAACCATCGGAAAATATGAAAGCCTAACAAGTAAAAATAAAATAGAAACGCTTTAAGTTTACCTTTAATGGCTGCGGCTGTTTACTGTGACTGCATCGCACTGCAACACAGGCATTTACAGAATGCGACGTCACTTTTCTGGCGACGAGAATCGTGTCACACTCGTTTGCATGTTATTGCATATTACTTTATACGTGAATTGACTTAACGTTGAAACGAACTCTCGATGCAACATCTTAAAAGAACGAGACACGTTTTTCGTGTTAACCAATGTGACATCACATTTCTGGAATACTACTGTATAGACATGACCAACACACCACAAAAGGGCTTTCAGAATGGGCGAAGAAAGGCTGGATCTGATTAGCCGACCAGCCATTTCACCCGTTAGAGTGGACAACATCCCCCTCCCCAAAGAACAAGACGGGCGAACGAAGCGACTGGACGACTGGATGGTCAGTGACTCAGGCGAGGATACGGGGCAGGCAGTGTGTGTTGTGTGATGCTGACTGTGTGTTCCCGATCCCAGGGGATCCTCCTGTGCCCGCAGACACTGTCGCAGGCTCGGCGAGAGCGGCTGAGGCGCGCCTTTACCGATGCCACCAGCGACACAGTCTCCTACGTGAAAACGGTGGGCATCGTCATGAACCCGAGAACGTTTGGCGAGCTCCTTCTCACTCTCACGTAGCTCCGTAGCGCACCCCCAGCACGGAGGAAGGCGTCGATCAGAGTGCTTGCTTCAACCACAACCGTGGCCGCGACCGGTGGAAACGCCCGTTTGGACTTCACTACAACTCAAAAGAACAATACGAAGGAGACGTTGGCATTTTGTATCAGGATCCCAAGTAAAAATTTAAAAACGATTCAAACTCGAAAGGTTAGACAAACGTTGGCATTTGTATCAGGATCCCAAGTAAAAATTTATAAACGGTTCAAACTCGAAATCTCAAGGTGAGACAAACGTGTCAGACCAAAAAAAAGGTGATACAAAAATGCGCGACTGTAAAAAGGCTTTATATAAATGTATGACCGCAAAAGTAAGGGACAGTCTTCACCAGAATTATCTTGAAAATGTTTCCACTGTCGCTCGCCGCTTTTAGGGCCACGGTTGCGGTTAAGTGACGGGCGCTTCCCTGTATCCAGTTGGAATTTTCGTTCCTCACACCGCAGAGCCATAATTAATACACGCACATTGCCGATGAGAGAGGACAGCCGCTTGAGCTGATCGGCATAAGGCAGGGACCTGTGAGTGGGCGCTGTACACGCGTCCTGGTTCCTAAGCCGCTGCATCCTCGACTACGTAGTCTTAATCCGCACACTTCTCTCACTGTTATTTGTTGCTGGCACTGTTTAGGATTTTTCATTCGCTTGGTCTTGTTCGGTACCGCTAGCTTTTCCCAAGGTTGCGTCCTGACACATCGACACAACAGAATCTCGATTTTTCTCTGTTGGTCTTTGCCGATGATTTCCTAGCGTTTGCATGAGTTTCATTCAAGCACACGTAGAATGGTGTTATTTCATTCTTTTTCTCTCTTTCGCTTTCACTGTATCCTACGAAACTCTAACTAGGTCGTTCATCAAAGGAAACAATTTAGGATATGTGACAGCTACTACGAGGTAGGACACTACATTAGCTTCGTGTTATAGTTTCTTTCCAGATCGCTTTCGTTGTTGACTTGTTAGTATTTTCTCTCCTAGCCTAGAATGCCATTCTTCTTCTGTGACGCACTGGAGGCGGAAAGAAGAGGGTCGTTCCAGTGGCCTCCAAGGTCGCCTCAAGGTCATCCTTAAAGCCCTGCGTCGACCCAATTAGTCCTGCTTGCTCTCTGACCTTGCCATTACTCTGATATGTCGCAGTAAAGTAGATGTAGTGTGGCTCCTGTTGGCAACTCGGAAAGGTTTTCTGTCTTCGTTCTTCCCGCGATAAATATACGAGGGAAAGGGGTGAGGCCGGGAGCCAAGTGTGGCGACAGCTGGCCAAGACCTACTCTATAGAAACTCGATAGTGAGTCTGGGGGGAAAGAGTGAGTGAGCCCTACACGTTTCCGGAAGAGTACGAACATAAAGAATTTATAAATGGAGAGTCTTGAAGACTTCTCTCAGAGTGTCCTAAGAAAAAAATGCACAATAGGCCAGAGAAATCCATTGGAGTCACACGTTTGGTTCGAATCTTTTTTATCGACTCGGGCTAAAAACGTAACTACAGTGTTGGACGCCTGCGCCGGTCTTCTAGCCCACTGTGAAATGTTTGCGCCACATGACACAGCTTCTTGACCTGAGGGCGTGTTTGGCGAGCGCACCCCGCAAGTGCCCTACTTTTACACGGGTTCCTAAGGGCACTCCAGGGTGCTCCGTTCTAGTGGGGCCATCCTGACTGGGGGATCTCTGCGCCGAGATTTAATGGAGTTAATGTGAGGCTGACCAGCGGAGCGCGCACGGCTTAGAGGTCCCTGAGGCCCAGCGCAAGGCTTTCCAGTGGCTTGGGGGCCCCAAAAAACAGCCAAATGCGTTCCGTATGAAATGAATGTATGAAAAAAGGGGGTAGATGTTTTTCTCGCCCTCGCCTCGCCCAAATGCGCACGCTCTAGTCTTCGTGCAATTATGCACGTGGACTCACACCATTTAGATTATTCTTGAGCATGTTTTTATAGTGGTGCGGCAGGCCATCTGCGTGGCGATAGTTTTGACACACGTTCGAGTCCCGTTTTGGCGACTCTACAGCTCAAAACGCGTCTAGAGTTTAGGCCACTTTCGCCAACCTTCTGGCCCACTGTGCGACTGGTTGGTGTGAGGGGTCGAAGCCATTTTGTTCTTCGGCGTATCCACTTTCCGGGCGTGCTAAAATGCCGTCATGCGAGTCCGCCGCGGCGCGCCGGAAACGCAACCCCGACCCACTGCTCCAGAAAGCGGTGTCACAGCAGCAACAGCAGCCAGGCGGCGCGCTAGCCAACCTAAACTTTCGCCTTCTCTTAAAAAGTTGCGTCGCAAATTTTCAACTCGACGTAAAAATGCCTGGAAGGTGCTGCGGCCCGCTTGCCTTGATCTTCTTCTTAGTCTCCGCCCCCTTCCTCTTCCTGGCTCTCTCTCTCTCTCTCTCTCTCTCTCTCTCTCTCTCTCTCTCTCTCTCTCTCTCTCTCTCTCTCTCTCTCTCTTTCTCTCTCTCTCTTTCTCTCTCTCTCTCTCTGCCCCACACTGTGAAAGATGATCGGACTGCAAACGTTTGGCGCCGCGCCAGTGACGCCGCACCGAAGTTTGAACATCTCAACTCAACGCGCGCAGGCGTGACCGTCGTGGGGGCCGTGACGAGGGAGAGAGAGGGGGGGAGAGAGAGAGAGAGAGGAAGGGAGGGGTCGCAGCGGAATCCGCAGCGAGGCGTCTCGGGCGATTGTTCGCTCCCACTTCGCAGCGGCCGCAGGGATAACTTATGCCGGTCGTTGCGTGGCTGGAGATAGTGAGGGGTGGGCGCGGCGCCGTGGCGGCACTCCTTGGTCACGTGACCTCGCTTCTTATTAATAAGGATGTAGGGCGGTGGTCGTCGCGGCGCCCGCAGAGACACGGCGAGATCATGATCGCGGCCAGATCACTGTCATTACCAACCGTCTGTAACTTTTAAAAAAATGAAAAACGTTTTACACGGTTGCGGGAAGGGAAAAAAAGGTCTATATGTCTGGGTGTGTCCTGTCTTGACGGGCTGCCTGACGCGGTTCAAATCAATGCGTTAAAAAAAAAAGACTAAAAAAATTTACACTAATTAACTTATCTTATTGTTTTTAAATATAAAAAGTCTAGGTGCGCCTATGTTTAGACGAGCTGCCTGCCGGGGTTCAAATCAGTGCGTTAACAAAATTAAAAAAAATACCACTTAAAAAAAATATATGAAAAAGTATAGGTGCGTCCTGTCTAGACAGGACTTCCTGACTTGAATCAATGCGTCCGTCGCGCTGCTGTCCGTGCCCCACAGCATGCGACGACCCTCGCCCCGTTCCGTCCGTTCGCCGGAAATGTCAGCCGACGAATAAATGGGACGGCGTTTTGAATGGAATGACGGTCGTGAAACGTTTGATGGGCGGCAGCATGGCGGCAGCCGGTACTGCCTGGCCACTTTGCTGTGTGACTGGGTCGCGCATATGCCGCGGCAAAAATTGAACTGGCGCCGCCGCGGGCGGGATTCGAACCGGCGGAACGTCGGAAACGAGTCTGGACTCTCTGCTTTAGTGCCGCGTCCGCCGTAGTGGGCGGCAGTGGCGCGTCGGCGTGCCGCCAGCCTTGCTTACGCTGGAAGGTCTGCAGACTGGAAATTGCGGACATTACTTTAATTTCTGGAGACATTTCTAGTTTCTGTGCGGTGTTGACGCTTGATCCCGGACTGCCGGAATCCTGGACTGATCGTTGCCAGTATTCCTCGGAAAGGGTGCGGTGTGGTTTCTGCTGGAAGTTATGCTGCTCAGTCGTGACCTCTCTCATGAAACGTTTTGCGCAGTACTCGCAAGTTTTTTTTCCTTTTCACATAAACTGGCTTGTTTTCTGTCGGGCCTCGACAACAGCCGTGATGTTGTTTTCGCTTTTTTTGTTGCAACTTTTGGGAAGGGATTTGAACTGTAGAGCGTTGTTGCGGTGACGTGCCCGGAAGAGTGGTTACCTCGCTGCCGCAACACGCTGTGCGGGGTTTACTGCGCATATAGCACACAGTCAGCCCCCCCTCCCCCCCCCCTTTTCTGTTCCGCCCCTTGGATGCCAACGGTCTGATTCGGAGGTGTCGGGACTGTCGGGTCGCTGGCGCAGTGGCTTAGTGCTGGCCCTCCCCTCCCCGACCCCGCAGTGCACGCTGCATGGCCTCCTTGCCGCCGTAATCCTTATCTGCCGCGTCTTCTCTCTCACTCTTTCACACGTCCCTTTGTTTTTGTTTTCTTTGTCCTCCTCCTCCTTCTTTCCTCCGGGCCTTGTTGGCTCCTCACATTACCAGCCCGCTCATCCCCGTTTATATGTTTTTTTTTCTCCTTTTCCTTCTTTTCCTCGTCCGTCGCGTCTGCCGGCATGGTTCGCCCTTACTCACATGGCCACATTTAATTTTATTCATTCTGCTGTCCATTGCACGGTGCTTCGCGCCCCATTGGTGTGCGTCGGGCGTGTCTCCGTCCCAGCCGAGAGTCACTTTCGTCGCTCTGTCTCTCTCGCACTCATGGGGCGTCTCGTGTCGGTGCGAGAGAGACAGAGCGACGAAAGCGACTCTCGGACTCAGTTCGCTGCCCCGACCCCTCCTCGTTCCCGGCCTCGCTAGTTGTCGTCGTCGGACCCTGCAGAGGAACACTAATATCCGAGTCAATGTCTGGAAAAACTGGAAACAAACTACCGTGTCGTTTTCGTCTCATGAAGCTTCGCCTAGGCTTGAAGTAGCCCCTTCACTTCCAGTCCAGTAATTTTAAAACGCCGCTATGTCCGTCTTGACCTGTCCTGCAGAGCCAGTGCAGACCGATGCGCCACTCCGTGAGAAACGAAACAAAAACAAAACGCCTTGTGCCTGGCCTGCAGTGTCTTGCCGTGCAGGGGCTAAACGGGGGGGATCTGCAGTGTGCAAGCAGATGCACAACGTTGTGCGAGCCGAAAAACGGCGTTGCCTGGGAGACGCGCGAT